AGAAGATATGCTGTACAAGTAATATTAACCCACGAAATGTAGTTCTCCAGCAATATTGTAGCTAGCGGTCCACATAGCACTATAGCAAGAACTTCTCAAGACTTGCAGAACACAAAGACTGGAGGACATCAATGTGTAACCCACACTTGTGCTAACATTAAATGGCAGCTCTTCTGGCTATGTGCAAATGTGAAAATGTTCAGTGCTGGTGTGAGCTCCCAGAAGATAGCCTTTTACATTGGTGTCCTCTCCTGAAGACTGTGAAAAGTCATCAGTACATACTCATTGCTGTCAACTACTTCACGAAGTGGGACAAATCATATACGTTAGTCAATACACTAGCTCAGACAGTGGTGGGTTGGAGAAAACTAGATAGAAAAATTAAGAGCACCAGAATAAATCCAGGCGAATGATGGAGCTAACCTCAACAGCCCAGTTCGATGATTTGTCAGAATGGGTAATACGACTATCAAGTAGCTGCTTGTAAGTTTTGCTAATTCTGACATAACTAATTAGGCAAACCCTTGCCATATATGATGACAGCATATAAAGCAATAAAACAGGAATTTACAGGCCATTTTGTGAAGACGTTCATGTTTGTATGGGAGGTGCTACTCCCAGCAGAAGTGATGTATGGTCCTTTCTTATCAGAAGCCCCCCAGTGTCTCTATGAGTATGTAGAGTGGCTGATGTCAATTGTGGTCAATGCACACGAGTTTGCCCAACAGAAAATGGGAAGGTGGCACTTTGAAAGAAGAAATGCTATGGTTGGATGGTGAAAGAATGGATATTCCAATGAACTGACTGGGTGTGTGCTTCTGTTGGGTGCCAAAAGCACAAAAGCAACTCAGGTCCAACTAGATTGGTCCATACCTGATACTCTGACAAGTTGGCCCTCTAATATATGAGTTTCAGTAAATGTGAAGCACACGTGGAACATGTCCATAAGTTGCATCCACATGTCAAAGACGAGACTTTTGTGTCCTGGCTTGACGAGGGGTCTGAAGATGAGACTTACAAATTAGAGAGGAATGAACTGCTGTCTCATTTCATGCTCATCCACCTGACGAAGGAGAAGAAGCTGAAGTGGTTTGTGATGAATCATATGAGAAGTCACTGGAAATGGAAGTGAGTATCATCTCCGATTGATGAAAATGATGCTGACATTGACCTCCCAATCGATATGAGTGGGACTGATTGATCACTGAAATATAGAGTGATTAGATAGTTGGGACCATCAGCTCTGACTGGTGGACAGGATGTTGATATCGATCTCCAATCAATATGAATGAGACTGATTTGTCACTGTAAGCTAGGAGCGTCAGTTAATTGACAGAATCTGACTGAAAGGGTGTCATGACCCTTGCTTTTCCAGCTTCCAAGTAGTGATATGAAATGTTGTGTCTGCACCAGCTTGGATGGTCAGGTAGATAAAAGTCTATGTAACTAAAGTGTGTTGCGACCCTTGCTTTCTGAGCTATCAGGTAGTAAGGTCCGACAGAATGCTGCTAACTGGACAGAGGCATGGAACTTGTAAAAAAAAATAAGTAGATTAGTGGAGGTGAAACGCACCCCTTTTGACATGGTACGAGTAGAATATAAAGCACCCCTTCGATATGGTACGAGTAGAATATGCAGTGACTTGAATCAAGTTTGCTGACACCGAGAGAGCCCTCAGTAAAAGTGACCTGAACATGATGATGACCCTAGAGAATTAATAGGGGAATATTTTGTACAGTATATACCAATTTAGAATGCCCTCCGTCTCCTGCATTGATAAATATATGTGGAAGAAAGGGACAAACCCATTTTTATTTGTATGTATATATATTTATTCTGTTTTCTTGAGTGTGTATATTTATACATATGTATATATAAACGATTCCCTCACTATTTCACAAATACGAGCATGTGTGAAAGAACAGGAAGACTAGAATTTTGTGTGTAAAATTTTTTAAATGTATTTAGCGTTTTGCTCTTTTTGTGTATATTATAAGTTTAATGTGCCTGTATTTGCTAGTGCACATTTGTCAATACAAACAAAGAATGATGAGTTCTTTGTTGTTATAGTTATTTGATGTTTTTGAGTTCCTTTGTGTTGTTGCTATTTTTGCTGTGTTGATTAAAATGATTTTGTTTAATTTTATCTTAAATATGGTGCATTTGTTTATGCTATAGGAATTTTATTTCATCCTGACAAATGTCACATCTAGCATTGAAAAACCTTAGTGTTCCATGCCAACCTGATATATTTTGTTAGACTGCCCTTATCACGAGAGGGCAGCATAAAATAACAATGAAAGTAATGTCAAAATATCATCTCTCCAAAGTTAAAGGGTTTTATTCTGCTTTTTTACCTTTTTTAGTTTATTTATTAGTTTTGTTAGACTGTTCACTCTTAGAGTAAACAGAGTATCTTTGTATTTTAGTATTTCCTTATATTAGTTTTAGGTGATGTCCTCGCGAATGTGTGCTTGCACATTGCTTTTTTCTATGTTAAAGACTCATTTCATCTCTTTATCATTGTTAATGGACTTGATTTTGTATTATTGTAGTTATTTGTAATTCATTGTTAAAGGGTTTCCTATTATCTTATTGTATGGTAATTTAAAAAATAATTAATTAAAGGTCTTTTAGTTATGTAATGTATTTAGTTGCATTTTTGGAATTATGGTAAAGGGTTTTGCTTTATTTTTGATATACATTATTATTATTATTACTGCATATTTTCTTGTGTCTTAATTGTTTTCAAATGTAGTAACAAATATAGAATAAATATGTATGTTGTATTATTGTAAGTTATTCTACTATCTACATGCAGAGTAGTTATTAATCGTTAAATTATATTATTGATTTAAACAACTCTGTACAACAGTTGTATATTAGCTATTTCAATCATTGATTATCATATACGTACATGTATGCACTACTGAAATAACGTGTTAGCATGCTCCATTCTTCTGGGGTATTTTTCCATAGATAACTTGCATGCAGTTTCAACGTTGATAGTAGTGTCATAATGATTATGTATTAAAACTAGAGCACTCAGTCATCCTTCGATTAATGTAAACCTCAGATAATACTGAAGCACGCTTTTAAGTAGTCAGCCTGTATCTAGAGCCTGTCCTGAAGAAGTATAAAATCCGGCCTACAAAAACTGACAGTAGCAATACAGTTTCTGGATTCCAGTTACAAACAGAAGCCAATGATGTGACTATTTCAAGTCAAAAAATGCTTCATCAGAAGAATGTAGACTATGTAGAAAATGTTAAGCACTGTTACGTCTCTGTTCGTTTGTTAATTTCCCGTATAATTTCTTTCCGATGAAACTTTAGCGATACAAGTCCTTTCTTAATTAAAGCTAGTTTATTATTTCTTGATACAACTTTATTTCCACAGTCACTTTAAATTCAACACACGCTATAATTCACAACGATTTACACCCTTTACTTACGGCTTGACTCGATTATCCGTCTCTGTATCTCCCTGTCTGCAATTCTCTATCCTGTCACTTCTTGCCGGTCTTATATATACAAAAATAGAGGGCGTCTAGCAAACACTAGAGTTGCCAAGAACAGTCATGGTCCTTCTAAAAACTCATGACGTGTTACCAGCGTCACGTGACTTCCGATGTCGTAACAGTACCATAAGCAGCTGTGCTATAACAATATAAGCATATATTTTTTACATCACAAAAATAGGGGGTTCGGTCGAATCCCCTCAACCACTCCTCTTGTGTCTGGCAAACACTAGAGTTGCAAAGAACAGTCACGATCCTTCTATAACAATGGTCGGCAACCTTTTTTGATCACGGGTGAATTATTTTTTTTGTTGAAAAATTTAGCATT